ACCTTCTACTGTTGGGATTTGAACCTAGAATCTATAGAACACAAGTCCACAGCTTAGTCCGCTGAGCCACAGAAGTCTATATAAAAAAGAGACCTTGCACTGAAGTTACTCATACTTTCAAAGGGCTCTACTATTCTACACTGAAATTTTAACCTCTCTACCGACTTGGAAGTAATCAGGACACACATTTAATTTTTCTTCGAGATTAACTAATTAATAGAACAATAAGAATGCAATTATGCATATCTAAATGCTTAGGGATTCGAATATGAGACTTGTAGCACATAAGTCCACAGCTAAAGTGGGTAAAGCTAAAGAGGTTTATTTAAAAGCGAGAACTGGAACGTCTACTGAATTTATACAGATTATCAGAGGGCACCACTGCACTTATTATACCTCTGATATATTAAGCTGGCAATTCTCCTCTTCCATACGGATTGAGTTTAGCCAATTGAAACCACAATACAGTTTAATTACTCATTTTTGAATGTTTTCAAATAATCTACCTCCTACTGCAGGAATTTGAACCTGGAACCTGTAGAAGGGGGGTCCACAGCTTAGTGAGTTGAGCAACATAGGTCTATATAAAAGGGGGAACAAAAATTTCTGTTGGAGTTACTCAGATTTACAGAGAATACTGCTGTACCTATTAATAATAATAATGGTAATAATAATAATAATAATAATGATAATAATAATAATAATAATAATAATAATAATAATAATAATAATAATAATAATAATAATAATAATAATAATAATAATAATAATAATAATAATAATAATAATAATAATAATAATAATAATAATGGATTCGGTTTTATGTCACGAACTCCCTTTTCTACTAAGGGCTAGGACGGTTGCCTTCTTACGAAGGACTTGTTTTGGCAGATGTAATCGTTACCCTGAGTGTATGCCCTTACTAACCTCAGTCCGTGACGGGGCGCAAAACCTCGACCTGCCGCCTCAGAGTCGCAGACGCTACCATTTTGCCACGGAGACTATTAATAATAATAATAATAATAATAATAATAATAATAATAATAATAATAATAATAATAATAATAATAATAATAATAATAATAATAATAAATCATCCATATATCAAAGCCATATTCCCCCTTATAAGGAGGGTGGCTGAGTCAAAGACATAACTTTGACTTTTTGTAGGAATTAAATACAGAGGAAGGGATTCCCCCTCGCTCTGCCCCACTTAGTCGACTTTTACGACACGCAGGGGAACACAGAGGAAGTATTCTTACCCCCCTCCCTATTATTATTATTATTATTATTATTATTATTATTATTATTATTATTATTATTATTATTATTATTATTATTATTATTATTATTATTATTATTATTATTATTATTATTATAAATAATGCGTTATTTATAATAATAATAATAATAATAATAATAATAATAATAATAATAATAATAATAATAATAATTTTGTTAAGCCTCCAGAGGAGATAAATAGCATACATAGGAATATAATAGGATTTTTACAAGAAAACATATATGTTACGTTGCATATTCATATTGCTATAAGAAAAATTCTAAAATGGAGACAGCAAAGCATTCATCTTTTCTCTATTATCGTTATTCAGATTGCTGGAGAGAGCTATAATAGAGTCGACTAGACCATCAATTTTTGAGAATACTATTTTGAAGTTATCTTTAACATAATGTGTTTCACATATTTATTTAACAAAAGACAAATTATAATTTTTATATGTATTCATTGCTCTACCAACTAGGTTTCTTTCATCTCTTTTTTTTTATTGCTTAAGTATAATCGCAGCATATAGTTGCAAAATTTTGCAGTTCGTGAACTTGAAAGCATACAATTTTTAAGTAATGTAATCTCCTGCTGTTTAATAGAGAGACCAATATGTGTAACCTTCATTGCATCAAGCAGGGGCGTACTTTTACATGTGTGTTTTGAGTTTATTGCTGATTTCAAGGGTTTACTCTGTAGTTTTTCTGACTCTTCCATTACCCTTTTGCATTGTGAGACGGACTGATGCCCATATATGAGCACAGGGCGTATTGTTGTGCTAAATAAGTATGAAATTGATGCTGATGCTGAACCATTAAAAAATACACCCGTACTATTTAATGCAAAGAAGGCTCCACGTGCCGCCTTGATCCTTGAGTTTGCATGGGCACTCTTATCACTGGACAGACAAACTCCTAGATATTTTAAACTGTCAACTTCTTGCAGACATGAATCTTCGAGGAGCCATTTTCTGTTCTTAAAGTTGCTTTTACCATATGTCGTGCAAAGAGTTTTCTCTGGGTTGAATTCAGTCCATGATTGATAATATATTCATTGACATAATTAAGGTTTGCAGTCCAGCGACAGTAGCACTAAATAATAATATGTCGTCTGCATAACAGAGCACATTATAACTTACATCATCAATCATGATGCCTCCTTCCATATATGATAGGTTATCTATCATGTCTTGATAAAATAAGTTGAACAAGAAAGGAGATGAAAGGCCCCCTTGCCTAGTTCCCTTCTTTATTGGGATTTCCTCACTCACTATATCACCCCATTTAATTTGAACAGTTAGTCTGCAGTACCAATACACAAGTATCAACTAGTACATGTCTGCAATGATGCCTTGTGCTTTTTTGAATAGACTACCATGTGGTATTCCATCAAAAGTACCTTCTGCATCTAAAGAGCAGTCATATACAGGGGAGCCATTTGAGTTTATATATTGTATATCATGGGCGAGGGCGGTAGCCATTGTGGTTCCTCTATTTGGTACAAATCCAAATTGAAGGTCGTGAAATTTATGCCCTTCACATTCTGCAAGAATAAATATTTCTAACAATTTTGAAAAGGTGTTTGAGATGATTATTGGTCTGTAATTTCTGGGCACAGATGTATCACAGTTAGGTTTTGTAATTTTACCTCAGTCCCGTTTGGATAGTGATCACCACACACAATTAATAATAATCCTCAATATGGACCAAGGTTAACCAGTTAATGGAACAAGGCAATGCAATTATACATCCTTAAAATGTTTCCAAATATTCTACCTCCTGTAGTAGAGATTCTAACCTATTACCGATAGACTAGGAGTCCACAGCTTAGTCTGCTGAGCCACAGAGGTCTATATAAGAGAGAGAACTAAAATATCTACTGAAGTTACTCAGATTTACAGAGGGCACTACTGCACCTATTCAACTCTGAAATTTTTTCCTACCTACAGCCAGGCCAGTGATCAGCACACACATTTAATTCTCTTCCTCAATATGGACCGTCGTTAACCAAGTGACTGAACAGTGCAATAAAACTATACATTTCTATGGTTTCAAAATAACCTCTTTCTAAAGTTGAAACTGAACCGTTGGACCTTTGAACAGTAGTCAACAGCATAAAACAATGAGCCACAAAAATCTATAAAAGAGAGCATGCTGGAACTTCTATTGAAGTTACACAGATTACAAAAGGCATGACTACGCTCATTCTACTCTGAAACTATTACCCCTCGATCAGCCAGTGGTTAGTACACACATGTAATTCTCCTCTCCAATATGGATCAAAGTTAACCAATTCATAAACCAATTCCATGCAATGATGCATTTTTTTTATATATATATTCAAATAATATACCTTATACTGTAGGGATATGCACTTGAGACCTGTAGAATAGGAGTCCAGAGATTAGTGCTGAACCACAAAGATCTACATAAGAGTGAAACACAAACTGCTACTGAAGTTAGGCAGAATTACGAAGGGTACTACTTCACCTATTCTACACTGACATTTTAGCCTTTCTTACAACCAGCTAGTGATTACTTCTCAGAATCAGTTCTCCTCCTTAATTGGACTGATGGTAACCACTCAATAGAGCTATGTAAAGTTATTACAAGAATTCAATTGTTCCCAAGAAATCTACAGCCTATTGTCTCAATTCGGATATGGGGCTTGTAGAATACAAGTCTACAGGTTACTCCACTGAACCACAGAGGTCTATATAAAAGAGAGAATTAGATCTTTATTGCAGTTACTCAGCCATAGAGAGGGCACTACTGTACCTATTCTACACTGAAATTTTTACCTCTCTCCCGACACGCCATTGATTAGAATAATAATTTGAAAATTAGGACAAAGCGAGATATAGTGAGAGTGATCTGGAAGCCAAGAGAAAGTGAGTGACTCGGATAACAGCAAAAAGTGAGAGTGACTTTGATACCAAGAAAAACTGAGAGTGATTTGGACACGAGGAGAAAGATAGGGCGATTTAGATGCCAAACCTATACATAAGTTATTTGAACACCAAGAGAAAGTAAGCAACTTGGACAATAAAAGAAGGTGACTGATATAGACACCAAGAGAAAGTGAGAGAGATTTGGACGTCATAACAAAGAGAGAGTGAACAGCATGCCAAGAGAAGGTGAAAACTTTTCGGCTTCAAAGGAAAATAAAAGCTACTCAGGCATCAATAGAAAGAAAGAGATATTTCGATGCCAAGTCATAGTATAGAGATTTGTACAATAACATAAAGGGAGAGTAATTCGGATGTAATGAGAAAGTGAGAATGATTTGGATACTAGGAGAAAGTGTTAATGATGTAGATGTCAAGAGAAAATGAGAATTATATGAATGCACAGAGATATTGAGAGTGATTTAGACACCATGAGAAAGCATGAATGATTTCCATGCCAAGAGAAAATTAGTGATATGTATGCCAAGAGAAAATGAGAGCGCTTTGTATACCAAGAGTAGTGGAGAGTGATTTAGATGCCAAGAGAACAAGAGCTATTTGAATGCAAAGACAAAGTAAGAGTGGTTTATGCGCCAAAAGGAAGTCAAACTGATTTGGACTCAAGACAGAGTATAAGTGATTGCGATTTGGTCGCCAAAAGAAAGTGAGATTGATATAGGTCCCAGTAGAAAACAGGAGTGATTTAGATATCAGGACAAAGCAAGAGTGATTTGTGTGCCATGAGAAAGTGAAAATTATTTGGATAGCAAGATAATGCGTGAATTATTTGTGTAACATGAAAAAGCAAACTAATGTGGAGGCCAAAAGAAAGTGAGAGTGAACT